CATAACCGAGCAGAAGCCAACCAATGGTCAAAAAATCCACTGACTAGACCCCTCCCTTTTATACCCTACACATCCTCCCCCACCCTTCCCCATTTACCACTTCCGGCCTACCCCTCCCTACTCCTCTTCCGGCCTTCAATTTGACCTTCCTAAACTGCATTTTTCACTGTTCCCGTCAAATAATCAACAAGACGCCTTACACTTCACATTTTAGGCAACTTCTTTACCGAAATATTTGTCTTCCAATTTCAGTGCAAATGTCTCCATCTGTCACCGCTTCCCACTTCCGGCCCCCACTTCCTCTTTTCCTCTCCCGATCCTCATTCTTAGTCCTCTGATTTCGCCGAAATGATTTTATTATGACTCTTTTCAAATGCTTAAATTGTATCCTCCAAACTCAACCCATTCCCATTCTACACCTACTTTCATCTCATCATGCATTCCTTCCACGTCCCGTTGCCCTCACACACACATTATACATTGACTGCCTCCCTGCCTGTCTCTCACCTTAGGCTTACTCATACAACCTCTACTCATTATTCTCTACTCTGTTCTCCCAAACAGTTTATTGAACCTTCCTCCTGCCCCCTAGACCTTCCCCCCATCTAAGATGAGTTCTGGTGTTAATTTATGATGATTTTAGGTATGCACAATCTTAACCGGAAGAGCTGGAGAAATAGCACAGGATTAATCATATCTTGCCAGGAGTGTACAATCTGTTAAATTAATACTTAAAATACATTTAAAAGGTTCATTTTGGCTGGGGGGAAAGATAGGTTCACCAATGTTCATGTGGAGGCTTGTCCTGCGGGTGGGTTCAACGGAGGGCATAGGCCGATGAACTGAGTGAAGCATCATTAAGACGGGCGGCGAAGCCGCCCTTAAACCCTAGTTTAACTAAGTTCCCTCCTGGACATGAAGTGCCCCCCTCCAAAGGAATGAAAGAACACAAGCTGTTTTGGCATGAATTAAGGTGTTTTCAGAATTGGCAGGGATTTTTGAATTTTTACAATGACTTTTGAAGTATACAAGGTATGGTGGAAAGGAAAAAAAAAAGGGGCAGAAAGGCCTCTTGACCTCGCTCATATCCTCGCCAATTCTGGTGGCCCTCATTTCCCTCCTTCCTCCCACATTAACGGGCATCTTCTTTGGATTTTGACCACTGCAACATGCATGTCTCCTCAGGTGGGAGAAAACAAAAAACTAGCAACCCCTTTGTTTTGGTTGTGCAACAGCATCAATAAGAACTTCAAAAGATACAAAAACCAAAAAAAAAAAAAAAACTTGAGATGTAAGCGATAGCTTCTTGGCTATCAGTATCCATCCCATTCTTGATGAAGAATTTTGGATGAATTTTGGCAGAGATATTTGCAAGCAAAATGAACCACTTTTGGATACCTCTCATGCCAAAAAATAAATAAATAATAAATTGTTCTTTCATAATTCCTCTCCTTTGGAGGGGGGGGGGGGTTGTGCTTTGGGCCCAGGAGAGGGCTTGGTTGTGTTTGGGTAGCGCTGACCCAGGCTAGCTCTGCACGTTTTTCCATATCATAAAAGGAGGAGGAGATTAGCCCCACCAACCATCTGCCAACAGTAATGGGAGTTGTTGACTACTTATAAGGCTCATTTTTCTAACCCCCTCTATATATAAGATATATACAGTCAAGCCCTCCTGACTGCATACCCCTTGATGGAAAGGATATGCTCTGTGGTCAGAAGGGTGAGCTCCTGGCAAGAACAAAGATCTGGCTCAACCAGATGAGGCAAGTATGTGACTAGACAGACTGATTGACTGTATATCCATCTTCAATCAACAACATCCAAAACCATAACTCACAAAATCATCACTAAATACACACAGAGAGACACCAAACACATTGTTTGTTTAATCTCTCTCTCTCTTAATCAATCAAGCGAGAAGTTGTCTGAATACTCAGTTCACTTTTCTCAAGCAAAACTCCTCACAAAAGAAATGAGTGGATCAAGACAACATGAACTTATATCAATCTGTTCAACCAACAAGGAATGTTGAGCATATATATGTATATGTATGTATGAGGGTACTTGCACTACATACATACATACAAAAAAACATAAACATAAACATTCATATAATGATCTACAGATGAAACCAAAAAGGAAAAGAACGACTGGAGTGGCAGGGCTCAAACCCAACCAAAAGAAAACCATCCACAAAAAAAAAAGAAATGTCTAAACAGAAAAGCAAAGAAAAAACCTCCTACAATGAGGTCAAGAGAGGACCCCCCAAAAGAAAGAGAAAGAAAGTGTTGGGTGTGGGTTGAAGGAAACAAAGATGAGATGGAATGGAATGAGAGAGATGGGCTGTTATGTGTTAGTTGAAAGGAGTGTCAGAGATTGAGATTTACACAGAGTGATTTCTACTGATAGAGAAAAAAAAGAAGGTGGAGGAATGGATAGTGTGATGTAGGGAGATAAATACAGGGATAAACAGCCATTCAATCACCTTCTTTTGGTTGGTTTCTTGGACACCAAAAAAAAAGGATCATCATCATCATCATACATCAATAAATACATACAATGCATACATATAATAATAATAATGATAATGATAATGATAGTAGTGATACTAGTAGTAATAACAAATGGTTTCAGATAAAAATAATTCATCACTTCTGTGATTAATAATTATAACATTCTCTTCTTTTTGTTGTTCCTTTTTTTGCATGCTTTTTGTCTTTTTTCATATTTTTTGTTGTATTTTTTTTGTTCTAATAATAATAATAATAGTAATAATAATAGATGTAACATGTAAATAAATAAAGTGTTTGTTGTTTTTATATAAAAATAAATAAATAGACAAAAAAACAGACAGAGAAGTGACACAGTAAAGATTACATTGATCCATTCAAAAGAGAAAGAAGAAAAAGAAAAAGATACCCCGGAATGCTGAGTGCTTCATTCGATTTTAGTGTGATGATGATGAGGAGGAGGGGGAGGAAGCTGTAGGAGCGGATGATTAATGAAATCATTAGAAGACGAAGAAGACGATAACCCAGTCGCCCTAAAACACATCAAAAAAAAAGGAAAGACGAATATGATGAGTCAAGGCGGAAGACCAAATGCAAACAAGAAGAGAGAACAAAAAGCAATGATTTTGGGAAAGGGAGGCAAAGGACATACTGATTCAACAGAGAATCAAATCCGATTTGATTATTATCGACGGTCAATGAAGCGTGAGCGTGGCCGAGCGAAAGACGAGAAGAATCAGGATCAGACGACGAAAGAGGAGGAGCGAACTGATCCAAAGAGAGCCCGGCTTTCTTCGGCTCCAACTTCGAATCTAGGTTTGCATTCGAGTTCGAATTTGAGTTTGAAGAAGGCTGAGTGAAAGCAGTAGTAGAAGAGTTTATACGAAGACGAGAAGGAGGGTAAGGAGGATTGGAGGTGGAGTGACGAGAAAGAAGAGTAGCCTTGATCGTCCTACTACATCCACCACCTTGTTCCTTACCCCCAACTGTAGTCCCAGAAGCAGACGAAGAAGGAGAAGAGTTGGTAGTAGTAGTAGTAGTAGTGGTGGTAGCAGTGTTGTTGTTGCTAGGGACCACGTGACGAGATAGACCGCGTTGAGAGAGCTGAGAACGAAGCTTCAAGTTCTGCCGCTTAAGTTGACTGAACTCGTAGCTACAAGGGATGCGAGAGCTTTGTCAACAACCCCAAGTCGAACTGGAGGTGACTATAAGAAGGATGAGATGGAAGATGTAAGCTTACTTCCAGGGGGTGGTTTTGTTGGTTCCGAGTGCACTAAACAGGTCGTCGTCCGAGTGGCCATCCTCAACGGAATGAGAGGATGCAGGATCATTGGCGATTTCATGGGTGGTCGAGTTGGGCAGTCGAGTAGCCGAATCGACAGGAGGTTCCTGAGCTTTAGATGAGGCCGCTTTAGTTGCTGAGGAGGATAGGCCGTCATGAGGCTGGGTCAAGTTCCCGGAGAGCGAGTGGGTTTGACAAAAGACCGTGCGTGGTGGATTGGTAATCTTGGAGGCGGGAAGAGGCAAGCCACAAGCGAGAGGCCCGCTAGAATAGTGGGGCGGATAGAAGTGGCTGACAAGGGAGACGAAAGTGCCATTACGATCCTGGAGGGAGTAGGGCAGACTGACGACCTCGTTTCCTTCGTAAGCGTCTCGGATCGCTTTGATCATCTGACCACGTTTTTCGGAAGGACAGAGCTGGGCCAAGGATTTCCCGAGCATCTCGCTAGGTTCATAAGATAAGATCTCCCTGACAGGCGAGCTGGCAAACAGACATAATCCGTCCAAGGATAACTTCATCCAAAACTCTTTCTCGCCACCTCTCAATCCACCAGTCGATCGAATTGCTTGCCATGAGAGCGGCCCGATCTTCCTCGGTCGTCCAACAACCACTAAATACTTTCGCCCTTTGCCTACTTCAACGTGTAACTGACCTTGTGATTCCATCCAGAATACATCCCCACTGCGGTCGACGGCTCGGAAGACCAAGTCGATCGGGGTGTGTGAGGTATTACCAATCAATTTGAGCTGACGTAGGATCCCGGTCAAGTCACTTGGATGACATAGTTTAGAAATATTCTGATTGACCAATTCATCCTCCTCATAACCAACGAGGTCCTTACATGATGGGGACACATAAAACAGGGTACCTTTGAGGGAGATCGCGAGGATCAAATCACGAGTCTATGTATAGATGTATATCGGATCAGTACACATATGAGATTATTTTCACACAAGTCAAGAGAGAAACTTACCTCTTGCAAGACGGTCTGATAGTAGCAAGACGGGTCAGTCAACTCAGTTAGCCCGGACTGAGCCTGTGCAGATGAGGAAGGCGAGATGGGTTCGATGGCTTTGGTTGCGGTCAAACTCAGAGACTTTTGGGATGAGCTCGAGGGTTCAATGGTATTGGGTGGGCAGAGCTGTTTGGCTTGGAGTAGATTAGGACGTGTTTTGGGACTGGGTGGAATGCCTAATCCATCTGTTATATGATTATCAACGAAAATCAGATCTGATATTCCACGCCGCGCATGTTTCAAGAAGAAAAAGAGATATATAGAGAGAGACCCACTTGTGAGAGCCACGATATCAGCCTGAAAGCCAACAAAGTGACTGATTTCGGACGAGTTCCAGGCGATGGGAATGACAGTGACTAGATTGATAAAAGCTTTACCATCTTTACGATAGTTAACGATAGACGATTGAATCTCACGACCAGCTTGAATGTGGTCGCGTATCTGGAGTGTTGCACGACAATTGACGGCCTGATCTCTAGGTTTCTTGACCGAGTTTGGGTTGAAGGGTTTCTGTAAGAATCTACAGTTTTGACCGATGATCTCATCGGTCTGATAACCGGTCAAGAGACTGAAACTTGGGGTGGCAAAGATGATGGGGAGGTCGTTCTGTCTAGCATCCACAACCACTAATGCTGCTGAGGTATCGATGGCTCCGATCTTCACCTTGGGGTCTGGTCGATCGACCACCTTAGCCAGTGCGCCAATCAGATCAAACCCAGATTGAGAGTATGGATTCTCGGGTGGTTTGAAATGTTGAGAGAATCCATACTTGGGGTCAGGGGTATGAGATTTTGATTGGAGTGCAGAGTCGGAGGAGAGAGGATCATCGATGTTGATTTCTGATGGATGTCTAGAGGATGAGGTGGTAGGCGGGGTGAAGGCAGATGAGCCGGTGAAGCTAGAACTATTATTCGATGAAGAAGATGATGATTTGTGGTTGGCTTGAGATGAGTTTGAGTCGTTCTGGTTTGGTATGGGATTGTTAGTGGCAGGTAGTTGAGATGATTGATGATGATGATGATCAGTTGAATTTGTTGTTGTTGTTGTTGTTGGTGGTGGTGGTAGTTGGTAGTTATTTGTGGTGTTGGAATCGAGGGGGAAGAATCGTTGATTGGAGTTATCTGAAGTGAGCATGGGTTCGGCATAGGAAGGGCCATCGAGTGAGAGTTGGTTTGAAGGGGTCTTTGCGAATGAGGGCATGATGAACATGAGTTGGTCTTCTGGTGAGTGGTTGACAGAGTAAGGGTTGGTTGCTGATGGGTGATGATGGAATCTGTTCTGATGATTATGATCATCCAGATCATTGAAACAGATAGCATTAGACTGCTGGTGATGATGATGATGATGCTGCTGTTGTTGCTGGTGTTGTTGGTGTTGTTGTTGTTGTTGTTGATAGTGGTGGTGATCGAAGTAATGGTCGTCTGGATGGTTGTAGTTTGAAGGATCGAAGTAGTTGGTAGTGTTGATGAATTTGGATGATCTCCTGTTGTTGTTATTGGTTGAGAATGGTGAGTTTCTGTGTTGGAGATGGTTTGAGGAAGATGAAGAGTGAGGGTCGAAACCTGTGGGTGGAGAGATGTATGGTCAGTATACTGTGTGTGAGTGAGTGTGTTAGTAGTGGATGTGTGGTGATTGACAGAGGAACTCGATGAGTGAATGAGAGAATGCAGCCATGTTGTGTTGTGTTGTAGTTTGTTGAAGAAGAAGTTGATGAGGTTGATGAGGTTGAAGTTGATGGTGAAGTTGATGGTGATGATGATGGGTTGGAAGACAGTTGAAGAAGAAGAAGGAGTATCGATAAGGTTCAAGAAGCAAGCCCCCCTCCCTCCCTGTGCTGTGTGCATACACATCACAATATATATACTGCGGCGTACAGTCAGTCAGTCATAACTCACGGCCATCTTGATTTCCATCCATCCTCAGCAGAGCAACACGACGATCGCCATCATTGACAGCCTCATCGGATTCTGCATCGACCACTGCCAGCTTGCTAGGACACTGATCATCGATCGTAGGATGACGATGCTGATGATGAGGATGGTGATTCATGATGATGAGTATGATGATGGTGGATGAGAATGATTGGATTGAAGAGTGAGTGTGGATGGATGGGGGTGTGGAGGAAACTGAATCTGGAAGCAGCACCAACAACCTCAACACTGACCATCGATGACCATTCAAAAACAGAAGAATACAATTCACTCTCTCATTAAGCGTCTTCGATTAAAATCAAATTCATAAATCCATACGCTTTCTGCATCAAGCTGCGTTGAAAACAAAAATCAAATCAAATCCAAAACTGAATCCAAATTGACACTGCGGAGAGACCTAATTAACCGATCTCATGGTGAGTCACTCGCTCGGACTTGAATACATTTGTAACATATGTACCACCAACCAATCAGAAAACACACAATAATTAAGAGCACAGCATACATGGAAAACAATCTGTCAACTCATTCAAACAAGAAATTCAAACATCATTTAATCCTTAAAGGAAACCATTGCTATTGCTAACCTAATCATCAAACATAATGTAGTGTGCAAAAAGAATTGTTAGTTTTAAAGCAGAATCCAGTGATTATACATTCCCCATCAACATCATCAGAGTCACTTCTTTTTTATTTCAGATTGGTCAGTCAATTACAAATCACAAAGCACTCTCTCTCCCTTTCTTATATAGGACAGTGTATGATTGTGATTGATTTGATTCCTTGATTAATCAGAGGCAAGAAAGTAGAACAAACATGATCCATCAGGTGGAAGACTATCTGGGACCCTCACCAATGTTAATTCAGACCCCCCCCCCCCAAAAAAAAGGTGTAGATTTTAGCTAGGAAATCCAGCTTTCAAAGCTCCAAACAATGTCTGGGAGCTAACTTGAGACAAGTCCCAAGCTTCTGCGGGCCTGGTGACCTTGGCTGGCTGGCGCCACTCGCAAAGCAAGCCTCCGAAGGAGGGACTTGTGACAAATACACACAAGCTTGTGTGTCGCTATTGACATGTTTTGGTGTAGCAAAATTTGGATTGCCCACCATGCATGTAATTTAACTTTTTTTTCAGGCAGATCCAGCATGGTCAAAGTTGACCATGTTGCCAATCTTCTCAGCAAATTTTAGGGATTTTTCCTGAAATTCAGATGAGTAAGATTTTTTTGAAAAATATGAAAAATTGAAAAAAATCAAAGAATCCAAGTTGAGTTCCGAGCCTTGAGAAGCTATTACATAAGCAAAAAGCACAAATCTGAGCGGAAACTTTTACAATTACAAATTTTCTCTAGAATGTAGTTGTAAATATTTCTGGAGATTTCCTTGATTAAAATTGACTTTAGCATCTGGGGCATGCTGTCCCAGATTTTTCCCCTATAAAAGTGTAGAAAGTGATACATTAGAATTTTCTGCGCCAAAAACACCCCAAAAACGCGAAAGCGACACGTGGGTGTGTTCATTTTGGTCACAAGCCTCTCCCGCACTTCGTGCGTTCGACGGAGAGGCTGAGCAAGCTAGGTCTGGGAGACCCCCTAGATCTTGAAGGAAGGCTGTCAGTCCTCTGCGAAAAAACAAATGACTGATCACTGATATCATGGAAAAAAAAAAAACTTGTAAAAA